GTAATTATGACCGGGATAGAAATGTATTGGTGTGTGATGAAGGAAATAATCTGATTACAAATATTCACATTAGATGGCAATCATTTAAAATTAATTAAATTCACAAATTTTGCCAAACCATTCACTCCAGTATATTCAGCAATATCAGATGATGGTTACATATTCACTACAGATTACTATAACAAACAGGTTGTTGTGTGTGATGAGAACGGGAAATTGATAAGAGTGTTTGGCAGTAAGGAAATACAGTACCCAATGGGGGTTGCAATTAGTCCGATTAATGGTCATGTCTATGTTGTTGACCATGGATCTGATTGTGTGAGAATTTACAGTCAACTTGGGGTTTATATGACGTCATTCGGAAGTAGTGGTACCAGGGATTCACAGTTCAATTTTCCGTGGGATATTGCTATTGGTAACACAGGTAATATTATTGTGTCTGACTATAGAAACAATTGTATTCAGGTATTTGACAACAACTGCCGATTATTAAATGTATTCGGGGGTCGAGGGGACAAGGAGGGGGAGTTCTATGGACCCGAGGGTGTAGCTACAGATACAGATGGATGTGTGTATATATGTGACTATGGTTACAATAGAGTTCAGAAATTTGACTCACAAGGCAAGTTCATTGCACGGATTGACAGCATTGAAGATAATGTTAGTGGTCCTTGTGGAATATACGTCTCTGATGATAAACCATTTTCTAAAGTAGTCGTCACAGAGTGGGATCGGGGTTGTGTAAAAGTATTTACTCAATGAAATGTGAGATGTGTGACTGGAATTGAATCTAAATTCTAGTTATGTAGATCTGACGATTGTACCATTTTTAAAGGCAATTTCCAGCATTATAATACCATAAAAAAATCAAAAAAGCTTATACTCTTGACAATATTTTTGCTTAGATATAATGTGCTGTCTTGGTGAAAGTAAAAAAACAAACATTATTTTTTTTTATTCCATTGAATCTTGTTAGTTGATGAGTATATGTGTGTTGTTGATCATATATTTAACTCTATTCCAGTTACGCAGCAATAAAATCCTCGTTTCTGTCCAAACTGAAACCAAAATATTATATAGATACTACATAAGAAATAAATCGTTATTAATTCACCCCATGTGTTCGTCATTAAACCCAACACAGTGACTGTGATTCATATCTGTTGATAATTGTATCATTTTCAATGATGTGACCAACGACGTAAAATAAAGAATGGACGACGGTGGTAAATGGTAAAACAAATTCTCGTACTGAGTTTATTAATCTTTATTAGCAAAAATGTACATACCCCATCAGTTGGCCAATACAAGCAAATACAACACAGCTTGGCTTGTGCAAGTCACCACCTTGTATTACCATGTTAAACACAGTAAGTTGAAAAGAGCTGGACTTAAAAAAATGCACAAAACCAACGCTGGCCTGAATGATTCATTGGTCAGGGAGATGAAGGGAAAGATGCTTCTCATACGAGTCCATTGATGTTACTGACCCAAACTGACTACTCAGTGTTGCTAAGCATCATGGGAAGTTTGCAAATGCTTTCATTGTGTACCCTTTTTTGGGCTCACTTCATGATTATACGCAAGTTAAATTACTGAATATACATAAATTAATTATCCTTAATATATCATTTTTAAGTTAATGTGTACAATATAAAACAAATCAGTAAAAATAAATAACTCTAATACGACTTAAATAGCACCCTCAATGGTAAAACTTTTCTCTTCTAGCGGATTGAAAGGGTTAGTTGTTTGAAATCGAGAGAAAATATTACCACATTTATATTTTATTTCTGATATATCATTTCCAAACCAATTTTAAAGAACACAAGACGACGAATATCGGAAACCAGTTTAAAATAGATGTAAACTATGCTAATTGTGGTGTTTATCATGTTAATATGACAATACTTTGGTGTTTATCATGGAAGTAAATTATATTTTCAATGGTGCTCAACGTGTTAACATGGCAGATAAATTGAAAACCAATTAATATGTAGTAATTATTCAGAAAGAACAGTCCCCGAGAAATCTGTAAGGGCAAATATATAGTGTCAATCAAACAATCTAACAAACAATCTAAGTGATTTATTGACTTCAAATTCAGTTTTCAAATAGCTTATGCAGCAGTAAGTATGATGCAAAATTAGTCGATAACAATATGTATATGTTGCATATTACAATATTTTTAGAATAATGACGTCATACCAAACATAGTCGTGCCTCGGGCAACTTTGTTTTTAACACTAATGACGAATTTGATGTCAAAACACGGAAGAGTGAGTACAGCTCCAGAGAAAAGTTAAATAGAAATAGAAATGAGATAATTTGTGAAGCTGTGAATTATGATATGCAGATGATATTTGACATTGGGAGACGATAGTCTGAGCTGCTCTGTAAAGATTATCACCCTAACAAAAGGATGTATTTGTACTATG